TAAAACTAAAGCTTGTTAATTAAGATTTTCAGAATCCAGACCAAGGCTAAAAAAGCTGTCATTTGAACTCTTGGTTGTTAATTAAGTGAAAATAGAGGGTGAAATATTTAAGATGAACGGCGAACGAAGGAGTTCGAATGATTTGAAATAGCTTAGCTGTAATTCAATTCACTTATCATGATTTTGGGTATACACGCGATATAACTATATATAAGCGCTGCGCTGGATTCGCAAGGCTGCAGTTTCGATTTCTGTCGGAGGCCTATACCTATTGTTGTATTTTCCGCGACTGCTCCTGGTTAGGTCTAATAAATGTATAAAATTCTCACTCGAAATTTCCATCTACAAAACTCTTCTAGAAGTATAGTTAGCCTACAGTATATGGAGTGGAGGTGCCTGCAATCCTGATTTAACGTATAATACTGTTTCCTAATCGTTCTAACTTGGATGAAAACTCGTTAATATATCGGGTGTCAAAACAGAGACGTTGGTTCTAATAAGGTGTGGCTGACTGCGTGCAACGGTTTGAAAGAAAATGCAGAACAAAAATTGCAGCGCCTCAAAACTCACAAGGCATCTCAGTAAAGCGCGGAGCCATCTGGCATTGATATGCCACTTTTGCAATGGCGTCAATTCGGGCACGAAAACTTGTTGCCAGGCGCACGTGTGTGATGTAAAAAATTTTCATTCGTCGACTAAATTTATAAAACCTGTTATATATTCTATGTATTCACACACTCATAGGGCCTACATGGCCATGGGGTCGGATTTTCATATTCCTGACCAAGGCGCAGACTTCTGTCACTTGAACTCCAGGTTGTTAATTAAGACGCACAAAACGAAAGAAATTGAATGAATTAAAAAGTGGATTATATCACTTCCAATAATACACTTTTTCAAAAACTTCATGTATTATACATTTTCAGTTTAAACTTTGATATACACTCGTTAATATCTAACATGTTAACCAGGGATGTTGGTTCTAATTAGGTGTGGCTGATTGAAAAACTACTTTACTAACTTACCTGTACTATGCAGAATTTTGACTTCTCGTCAGAGCGGGGAAACCAGTAAATAACTGAAAAGATCACGAAACGACCGTTTATACTGTTTCGCATAATTGTTTAAGAGGGAATCTCCACTGTCACCGAGCAACAGGTGGCACATGATGAAAAATGAAATGTTTTCTTATTTTGTCCAGTGATACACTAATGTATACTCAGAAACGTGATGGGGTTTGTTTCCTGAAATATTATTTTAAACGCCGAAAAATTATCAAAACCTGACATGTATACCCAAGATTCGTGAAATTAGCTAAAAACATAGTGAGTCATAGCCTCTCGAAAACTTCGTTTTGCTCAGTTCGCGTCTTCAGGAAACCCCACTTTCGGTTTTTAAACGTGTATATAAGATGTTTATAAACAACGATAGTCTATTTTGCAATCTTTTAAATGATGTTTCAAAGTCAAGGCAAGCGTGTAAAAATCGCCTTATTTTGCGATCCAAAAAATTCTAAATTGGTACGCTTTTTGAAAATTAATTTTCCGTATCCGGGAAAACTCCAATTTTCTTGAAATTTAGGGAATTTAAAGAGAAACTGTTGCTCTAAATGCTGATGTAAAAGTTATTTTGGGGCTTTTTGTTACCACGGAATTATACTGACTATAATATCGAGAAACTCACAAGAAAAACCTTAAGTTAAAAAATTTTAAGTTTGGTACATTTTTTGAAAATCAATTTTCCCTTTCTGGTAAAACACCGATTTCCTTCAAATTTAGACAAATATATTAGCAAATGTTGCTCTCAAATCTGGTGTAAAAATATTATGGGGTGTTTTGTTATCACAAAATTATAATGTCTATAATATACCCCTTACGAAAAAATCCTATAGGATCCTATAGGAATTCCTATAGGAAATGCCATTTCGTATAGGAATTCCTTTCGGATCCTATAGGAATAGAATTCCTATAGGAATTTCCTATTGGAATTCCTATAGGATCCTATAGGAATAGATTTTCTATAGGAATTTCCTATAGGAATAGAATTCCTATTGGAATTTCCTATAGGAATTTCTTATAGGAATTTCTTATAGGAATTTTCCTGTAGGAATTTCCTATAGGAATTCGTATATGATGTTATATAGAATATTCAAGAATCCTATTGCTGCTATTATATATTTTTACTCTGTTTTTTATAGCAAAATACAAAACAAGTGTAACTCAAATGATCGATATCGATCTACATCGATATATATATATTGTTATCAACCTTTAACTGGAGTTGCACTTGATTTGTATTTTGCTAAAATACTCAGTGGTTATGTTTTTAGTCTCAATGTGTTTAGCTAGCTACGACAGTAGTATAGCGTCTGTATAGCGGCGGAAGTGCAGTATAGCGGCGGAAGTAATTAGTATGCAGGAACGAGTAGAGCACCGGAAGTAATGAGTATGCCGGAAGTAATGAGTATGCGGGAGCGTTTGTAAGACATGGGGTATATTTGAATCAGTGAGTAGTACAAATTCATTTACACTTTGGTTTTCATAATGAACGGTTCAAGCAAAAAACTTCGTCTTATAGAAATAATATATGCCAAGATCATTGCACGCAGCATTGAAAAGAAATTTGGTCTGTTTTGTTGCGGGTGTAAAGTTCGTGACCAGGACTGCTTAATGTTGGATGAGTTTGAAAAATGGGAGATGTATGGTCTTGATGCTATAGAGGAAGCCGGAATTAACTACGCTGTCTGGCGTGAATTTACTAGTGTTATTGAAATTTTGAATGTTCCGTTTGAGAAATATTTTACGGAACACTTATTGAGTTTGGAAGAGAACCCTGATCTTATGCTGATTGAATCATTATTTCAAGAATACCGTGACAACCAGGCATTAATCGAAGTCCTGTGCGATTTGTCTGATCCTAGAGCAGATCCATTGGAACCTGTTGCAGAGTGCCTCTTCGGCAGTCCCCCTACCTTTATATATTATGTTAGAGGAAAGGGGGAAAAGTTCCGGAGCAAGGAACAAGATGAACAAAAGGCATATCAGAACTATCTCTAAGATAAACTTCGAGAACATTTTAATAATTTGTAAAATATACTTTTAGTTAATAAACAATTTTTAAAAATATAATGTTTTTAAACTATGAATTGTTTAATGTTCTTCGCTCCAGTAGCTGAGATATCCCAAAATGGCTTGATATTCAGGAAGGTTTGACTTAAACTTCAGATCTTTTAGGAATTCGGCGGTTGTTTCGGGGTCTTTGGTTAAATTTTTGAAATGTTGAATGACATCTTCATGAGTGTCTAGTTTCATGACGCGTATAGCTTCGGTGAATTGTTTCGAAACTGTTTGATGTTCGATCACCTTGCTTTACTGCTTCTGGTCCATGCATTAGCCATCCCTCTTCTTCGGACATCATGAGACAGTCATGTCTTTTCTGGCTTGGATGATTGACTTCACAACCACAGCATTTTTCTTTTCGAAGTTTTTGGACTTGACAGTCAACAGCTTCCGAAAAGATAGCATTCATTAGATTACACAGATTTCTGATTTCCCAAGGCACAACTTCGTCTACGTGCTTTGCCCAGAATACTTGCTCACACGAGTTCATTTTGACTGTGTATTTGATTTGCTTTATACAGTATGATTCAGTTTGCTTTATATAATATGGTGTACGTACACGGTGTACATACACCATTACGTCATGTCCATCTCTGATTGGTTGATGCGTACGAATATAAATTAGGTGTACGTACACGGTGTACGTACACCAATTACGTCATAATTGTGCCCGTCTCTGATTGGTTGGCTGTGTTTGGTGTGAGAATATAAATAGAGGAGACGAGCGATTATCGTTATTGTGTTCATAGTTTTCACTTAGGAAGTCACTTCAAATATACTGTTTACATTGAAAGAGCTTTGGTGGATATTTTGTTTGAGAACGGATTTATTTTTCAGGTAAATGTTAACATTTACTTAAAGGGAATTTGTGTAATAATTTTGTTTGAGCGAATCGTTTTTTGGTTTAGATATGGGGAGAAAGATTAAAGAATGTCAAACGATAGCGGAGCTTTTGGCTTTGGAAAATCAGGGCGCATTAAGCGAATTTGAGGAACGTTTGGTGTTTGAGAAGAAAATGGAGATTTTTATGCGCATAAAGGAATGGCGTTTGGAAAACGCACGGTTAGGACAAGTACCTACGCTTACCGATACCTGGACGCCCGAACAACGCGACAGGTTTTTACGCGATTGGCAAGATGAAGAGCTTCCGATGCAGATTAATCGAGGTGAGAAAAGATCATTTTGTGCGATGAGCAGCGATGATGATGAACCACAAGTCGATCGCGGACAGAAAAAATCTTGTGAAGGGACGAGCAGCGATGAACCACAAGTCGGTCGCGGACAGAAAAGATCTTTTGAAGAAACCAACGACGATAATGAACCTGAACAAGAAGGGAACGAGGTTAGCGACAACATTTTTACGGTGCAGAGTGTGAAACAAGTGAATGTGAAAAAGTTCAAAACCACGGGTATGGATTATCGTATTCAATTTACGAATGCATTTGCGAATGTGGAGCTTTCCGAATATCATGAAAGGCTGCATGAAATATTTCAAAGCTTGCTTAATGAAGTTACGCACGGCGTTCCTCCCCATGACCAAGTACGTTTCGTCCTACACTCAACGCAACTGGAAAATCCTATTTCATTTCCGTTTATGCCTCGTGAACGTCTCACTACGGTTCGAACGCGTGATCCAGTCCAATCGCCATTTTCATCTCAACGAAAGTGTGGATGTCAATATTGTTCATGTGGAAATGCCTCATGGAGGCAAGCATACGTAGCGAGCTGAAATTAATTTGGAAAAGCATTTAATGAAGAAACGCTCAATCATACGGATACGGAACAATGATCAACTTTGTTTGGCGAGGGCTTTGGTCGTTGCGAAAGCCAAAATTGATAACGATCCACAGTATACGAGCATTGTTGATCATCGCAGGGGCTATGCAGGTCCGTTTGGCTGGTGAATTACACCAGAATGCTGCCGTTCCGTTGGGTCCCTGTGGACTGGATGAAGTCAAACAGTTTCAGACGTACCTTTCCAGTTACCAGATCAATATTGTGTCCAAAGATCATCAGAACGCTCTTATTTATACTGGCCCTGATCAGGAAAAGAGAATTTATCTCTATCTTCACGATAATCATTACGACGTTATTACCAAAATGCCAGGGTTTTTTGAGCGATCGTACTACTGTCATACATGTAAGAAAGCTTATGATCATCGAGAAGATCACCTATGCCCGAATGCTTGTCAGTGTTGTCGTTTTCCCGATTGTCCCATCGAGTCTTGGGTTCACTGCAATGATTGTAACCGGATGTTCAAAAGTCAAGCGTGTTTCGATCGGCATAAACAGTCAAGCGGAAAATCGATCTGTGCGACGATGATTAAATGTCCTGACTGTCATAGACTTATCAAACGAGGTCCGAGAGATCCCGAGAAACACCATTGTGGCATGACAAAATGCTTAATATGTAAAGAGTACACTCGACCCGGCGACCATCGGTGTTACATGCAGCCCGTGGAAAAACGAAACGAAGGTTTATCGGACAGTGACGATTCGTCTGAGCACCCTGAGGATGATGTTACGGAAGGCGGGTACGACCAGATGTTATTCTTTGATTTCGAGTGTCGTCAGGAAAATGGAAATCATGAACCCAATTTATGTGTGATTCAGAACGAAGCCGGTGACGAATGGGTATTTGAAGGGGATAACACACGGAACGAGTTTTGTGAATGGTTATTTCAAAAGGAACGGGCAAATTGTGTGGTGATGGCTCACAATTTCCAGGGGTATGACAGTTACTTTATTCTCCAGTACTTACGGGAGAACGGTGTCAAGTACGATGTCATCGTGCGCGGGGCCAAAGTCCTTTCCTTATCCGTGGACATGTTCAAGATAAAA